TGCATCGGAGGGTAACGATCGTCGCTGTTTTCAGAAGTTTAGAAGTGGAGACGAGTCAGCTGAAGACGGAGAGAGTGTTGGTCGACCATCGCTGGTTGATCACCATATTTTGCTAAGTGTAGTTGAAGAAGGTCGACGTCAACCTATGAGAAAGAATGCCATAAAAATGGGCGTCTCCCACACGTTGCCCACCTAAAGCAGCTTGGACAGGGTGAAGAAACTTGACAAGTGGGTGCCACACGAACTCATAGACAGCAACAATTGAAGCTCTTAGAGGTTTCAAGTTCGCTGTTGAGAAGAAATGATGTTGAGCCTTTTCTAAATCGTATTGTAACGTGTGATGAGAAATGGATCCTGTATGATAATAGGAATCGTTCTGCTCAGTAGGTAGGTGTGGATGAGCCTCTAAAAACCTTTCCCAAACCAAGTTTACACGTCAAGAAGGCAATGATCACAGTTTGGTGGTCCAGCCATGAGTTAATCCTCTGGCGTTTCTTCATCCAGGTCAAACCATCACCGCACAGTCCTATTGTGATTAAATTCACAAGGTAAAGATCTACATGAAACTGGGGCAATTGCAGCCAGCACTAGTCAGTCGCCACGATCCACTGCTCTTGCACGACAATGTGCGACCGCATGTGTCACAATTGAACGAGCTGCGAATCGAAGCTCTCCCTCATCCACCCTACTTACCAGACCTGTCACTAAACAGACTACCAATTCAAACATCTGAACAACTTTCAGGGTATCGAATAATCAGAAATCAGGGTAACATGAGCTGCCTTTCTCGAGTTCTTGTAATTCAATTCTCCTGACTTTTACAAGAATGGGATAGACAAACTCGTATCACATTAGCAAAAATGTGTGGAATCGAATGGTGCTTACTTTGAATAAAAATGTTCGCTTTGAGATGAGATATGATTTTTTGAAAATTAGATGGCAGAATGGCCAGAACCTTCCTCACGACCTAATATTTCTCTCTGTTTTACCATTCCACAGTATAAGCATAACAATCGTTTAATCACCCACATTTCTTCACTTCCCTTTCATCCCTCCATAGCCTTCCCACTTCGACGTGGTAAAATAAATATATTTTCTAGATATTTTGTTGTAGTGTTGGGAAATTACCTTTTGTTAAAAAGGATAAAATGTTTCCTCGCTTCGTGACGAGCCTTTGATTAACCAGATGATCTCATTACAAAAAGGCTGCTCACTGACATAGCCACTTCCTCGTTCCCTATTAACTAGCTACCTTCTTTTCCGTTCATGGAAAGCAAAGCCGCCTATGTTCTGTTTCAATTCAGGAAATCGTTTTGGTAATGTCGGAGTGATTGTCTGAAGCCATAGTTGAGTGACCAGAGAACAGTTAACATACAAGATGTCTCTGAATTTATCGGTACTTTTGGGAAGCTTTGATGAGCACCGCTTTTACCTTCTTATCACTATTTTCAGGCTGCTTGGTTCACTAAAGAACCTTCAGCCTGCGCTACCCTTTCTCATAAGCCTTTTTATTTTTCAGGGCCCGACTCATTGGAGATCGCCAATAACCGAACAGTATAGGATACGTCGCAGCAAAGAAGTGGAGGACAGAATGCACGAGTTTTTTGGTTTCCAATTGATCTCTCTGTAGTACTTCATGGTCTCATTAGCAAGTTCGTCACGAAGTGTGCCGTGTCTCAATGCGTGCGGGTGGTCTGTAGATTGTGTGTCCTCGGTGTATGTAACTCGTTGGTGTAGAACCGCTAGCCTAAATTATGGGAAAGTTTCGTTCGTCACTCTTGCAGTGTACGTCTAGTTAACCACATTGACTGATCCGTGACGTAAAAGTTCTGTTGTGAAGTGGGCATACCAGAAGACAAGCCGAGCCGGGACATCTCCTGAGAAGGTGCGCTTTTCTTTTTCGTCCCATAGATGAGAAGTGGGCAGAGTACGTAGATAGTTGGTTGAGGAGCTAGACTAAGTGGAGTAGTACGGCTGAGCAATCAGATTCCCATAGCGCAGTGGTTACAGATCAGATGTAACGACCACTGAGCTCACCCTTCAAGGCACAGTTGCTCATCGGCAAAGTTTTAGCACCTGTATGATCGTCGGACCTTGCCTTCAGATGACTGAAGGTGGTCAGATATTGTAAGCAGGTTGTTGAAGCAGTTGCTTAAGCTTTTTCATTTCTAAAAGGCAGGGTGGCTTTCTCTATTCTGCTTTGTTTCAAGTTCGGAAGATAAAAGGCATTTTGTTCCGAGCGGCAACTTTCTGAAGGATTGGGGATGTTGAAGCTTGGGGATTATAAGCTGGTTATGCAGCTTTTTGTTCAACCCGAAACTGAAGGAAGCTTTTCAAGAAGATAATAAAGCAGTCAGGCCTGAGATTCATATATCTCTTTAAGTGCTATTAGTGCTATCCATTTATCAATACCAAAAACCTATTTATGCCTGCAGGTTGCAAGCTGCTGATCTTCAACTTCCCGGAGCCTCAAGGGATTCTTCGATATGAACACTGTGGGAAGTCCTGAAATTCTCAAGTCGATGCTTATGTAGGGAATTCGCTGTGTTTCGGAAATACACTTTGTGCGAAGTTTGTTAACCTAAAATGCAGGCATGGCCCAGCTTGAATGCACTCTCATGCGACGACTCAAGCAATAAAATTGTGGCGTAACGCCGCGAATCCAAACCCGTCACTTCTAGAGAGTGAGTCCGGACTCTTATTCGCTACGCCATGAGAGAACATTGCTTCGGCTTGGCTCTCGGCTTTGTCAGGCCGCCAGTCAGCTTGATGGCGGTTGAAGCCCACTTAACCGGCTTAACCGTGCTGTCCGATGGGTATAAGATAGTCTGAGGGGCAAAGCATCCCTCCCCCGCTACCCTGTGGACTTCAAAACCCCAGGTAAATTACACACCTCCGGTTTCATACGTCGAATATACGCGACGTACCTCGAGCTGATCAAAAGTTGGTGATTTCCTTATAAGATAGGGCACAGAAATGTACGGAGGGTGGTGAAAAGGTAACAGTGCATGGCGGCAAGGTCTGCAGTTAACCGAAGCACTTGGAAAGGTTGAAGTGGGGTAGGTAGTAGTGTACGGCAACTGAAAGAGAACTTTGATTTGTCGAATTTTTACTCAGTTTTCACAAAAGTGTTCTCCTAATTGATTCGGTTCCAATCTCCTAGAAATACCGACTTCTCCCTGCTAACGGAGTATCATTTCATGAAATTCTGAAGCGGTTGCTTTGAAAATACTGCTACTATCCCCATCTGTCTTCTTTCTCAAAATTTCGATCGCGAATCTTTCCCTCTCTGCCGAGAATTTTTCAACGCAAGCTTGATTCCGATCTTAATACTACTATGTATACGAAGAGCATGATGCGCTAAGTGACTCAAAGCCTTTGACACTCCTCACAGCCCTTATCTTGACTTCTGGTTACATCCCCCACAAACAAACAACCATACAAACACATGCTCAGAGGTTCTATTCAGTAGAGGTGATAGTGCGAAAGTTTTACATCATGCAGTTCTTCAATATTCCCATTATCAGCAATATTTACTTATGTGACCCAAAAAGTCTGGGAAATTGTATGAGTGCTCTCGATGCAGGCCAAGGGGTTTCCCTCCTATTATGGAAGGAATTTGGTTCATATGCTTCCAGGCATCAATTTCTCTCTGTTCTCGTATCCACTGCATTACACTGATTTCTGATGAAGGACATCATACCCGTAATGGTATAATTGCGTGCCCTCTCCAGACGTCGCGCGCTCAACTAATTGGGGAAAAACGTCTCACCGCCCACGCGCTCCTGGTTGGAAGCCTCTAGATTTGAAGGCGCACAAGCTCCACTTTAGGAGGCTTCGCGCACCATCGTTTTGCTCAATGTAGGCGCTGAATCAGCCTCTGTCCACGAGAACACCATCTTATGAATCTATCAATTTGGGATAATTATAATCGACTGAGTGAATCGATCGGTACTGAAACCTCGTCTGAGCATCCCCTTCTGTTGTCATAATCTCGTACAATCTTGGAGATGAACTCGCTCAAAGGAGAAGACCAATGTATGAGAATTTTACGAGTTCGCTCATTTTCTTCGTTACTGAAGCCTTATCTTGCTTCAACACATTCGCCCTTCAACAAAAGAGCGTTGCCTGTAATTGTGCGAACTGTGCCCTCGAGGAAATTGGAGCCGCTAACTATAAATAGTAATTATCGATCTTTGTTAATATAACAATCTCAAGAATTTGTATAATATTTATCTTGTTCGACTTTACAAAGAACTCAGTTGAGTCCATTTTAACCGCAATTTCGGGAAATACTCTGAAATACAATATTATATCAACGTATTTGGAATATAACTCTAATGTCCGTCAGGTACCGTACNAAACAGACGTACAATATGCAAAATCGGACATTATTTCATAACAATGAAGAGCCTCATTAGGTTTTCCGAAACGAGTGCTTCAAGCGCTTCCATTCCTTCCATAGCCGGTGAAGCTCAACCAGGTTCACAGTGTTAGGATCCACTTGGGGGAAGTGGATCAATAGGATGGACCTTGGGTGATATAAGAAAATAGTGAGAATCTGCTGGATTGATAGTCTGCTGTGAACTCTGTAGGGGCTCTCTGTTCGAGGGGCTTCCTACGGCGTCTTACTTTTCTGGTCGATTCCATAGACAAGAAGAATTTTTGAACAGAAATTGATTACTAGGAGAAAAGAGTAAGTCAAAAAGGGCAAAGAAGTATCACGACTGAATAAACCATTCCCTTTTTCACTGAGCTTGGAGCTGTCTATCCCACCCGAGGCGAATGAGTCTGTTTGTATATTAGTAAAAGTAAGACAGTGTAGTGTTGGGAGACTGTTAAGACCAGACCAAGAGGCCAGTTTNTAAAAAATGTCGATGATACAAACCACATGCACCTCTCTCTCATAGGAAGGAAAAGATGGTAGTGATGCCATCGAGGTGAAAAATCAAAAAAAAATGAAATGTCATTCCGTGATATGAGCAACGTGCGTTGGACGGATGGCACAGGTCACAGGCAACACTGAGCACGTGGTCAGTAATCAGGTACATAAAGCCAGCCATAACGGCTGTGGAGCCGCAGTAACTGAAGTTCGAAGCCAATGGATGCAGTTCGGTGAAGTGCCCAGTCGTATCGTATCCATTCTCGATCCCGAAAAGTCGTGTACTTCAATGGAGACGTCGCAACTACGGCCTAATAACCGCCAGCATATCTGAAATAAATGGCTGACGATAGATAAGTTGGCGAAGGATCCCAGCTTTTGATCAATTTTACAAAACAATCTTTATTTATTACGTAAACGGTTTCCAGACGAAGATATTCGTACGAGGTACAGTCTTGGAGAATAAAAGCTTTGGCGTGAATCAATTTCATCTGAGGCCTGCGTCCCGCACTCGACTTCCATTCAGAATCATAGTGGGGTAATGAATGCGTATGTGGCATATACAATGAATTGCGGAGGCCAGCCGATGTGGTGGGTCCCATACCTACTTTTTACCATTCCCAGACCAAGAGATACAGACAAGGTGTGGAAAGCTGTTATCAAAAATGTTTCCGCTCTTCCTTCCCTCAACCGAAGAGCCATGAAAACCCACCCAACCACTTCTACTGAAACTTACCTCATCTAGGGG